GGCCTTCATATGTAATGCAAAATGGCAATTTTACCCTCGAATATGGAGCGTGCGACTCGCACGCTCGCTTTTCCGGTGGAAAACGAGTGGGAAACGGCCGGAGGTTGCGATGCAGGCAAACCCGTGTATTAAAGGTTGCAATATAGTACAAATTTTTGTTTAGGTTGCAAATCCACAAAACGCGATTAGTACAGGTTGCATAAAATTATTTACCCATATTATTTCATGGCTTTAACATACAATAATTGTTGTCAATCCATGTTCACCCACTAGATTGGCAGGTTAATGTTGAATTGCCCAGTTCATTTCAAGATGGCCCGCATTGAACCATACATGTAAGGTTTCTCTCTCTATAAAACAGATCCGCTGGTCTGACACTCATCTCCCAGTCATTCCTCGTTTGTGACGTAAGTCGTTCTTCATCTGCCAATTCAACTGCATTCATGGTTCTATGCGAAGATTCATTTGCTGATTCCTTTTCGTGTTCTGTTGTTTTTGTTCGTAATTTTTGTTGTTAAAATAAAATGCATCTGTTTTGATTTGCATTTCTGCTTGTTTGCTCCTGATTCATTCTACTTTCTGCTTGCTAATTGAGCCGCTTGTGCGGGTCTATGCGATATATAATTGCAAGTTTATGGAATGGGCGTGTAGTTGATTTGTTCCTGGGGAGACAATTTTATGCAGAAATTGTGTGGATATGTGAATGAATGCATGGTTTCTAAAGTTCCTGTATGCTAACTACAATCTATTTCTCTATTTCAATGAATTCAATCGTTATAGTGTTGAGTATCTCACATTATGTTTTCTGCTGGTGCTTATCTTTGGCCGAATTGTAGAACTTTATCATGTGGAAATTAAAAGTTGCGGAGGGATCAAACCCATGGTTGCGTTCAGTGAATAGGCATGTGGGCCGCCAAATATGGGAGTTTGATCCGGATCTGGGTTCTCCTGAAGACCTGGCTGAAGTCGAGAAGCTTCGGGAGGAATATCATAATCATCGCTTTGAGAAGAAGCATTCTTCTGATCTTCTCATGAGACATCAGGTTTAGTGAAACACTTATTTTAGCTTCATCCCTTGCAAGATGCCGTGTGTGACACAATAGATTTATTATTGCCACTTCTGTCATTGTTTATTTAAGCTGATGGTGATTGATCTTTGTGACCTTAACATGCATACCTTGTATTTCTGGACTCAGTTTGTGTGAGTATTTACATGAGGTAGATCTTATTTTTGGATGCTGTTTCCACAACTAATTGGTTCTTAAGTATGAGTTGGGATTTTGAGGTTCGGGGATAGCGTAAATGCATTGCATAAAAGGATGAACTTGTGAAACATTGTCAAATTTATTGATTATGTTTTCTTCTTTCACATAAAAAATCCTTTATACAGACAACCTAAAACAAACTTTTACAAGCATCTATATTTGCTAGTGTTATTTCTATTACTTATTCTTTTAAGTGGACAGAGTTTGATGGGGATGGGATTTTTTAGTTTTGTAGGTTCTCAGGAACATTTTGATGCATTTGGAGTTTGTTGTAATTGATCTCCCTTATGCTGAACAGTCAGTTCTGAATGGTCCGGCACAAGTCAAGAATTTAATTCAAATTTAGTCAGATTTTCGGTTTTAAGAAGTCAAATGCAATTTAACTATAGGTAGATTTGTTGTTGTTTTAAGAATTGACCTGTTTTTTGGAACGAAACAATAGAAGGGTCTAATATAACGGTTCTTAGTATAGGAAAAGGTAATTTTTTTCTACTTCATCATTTAGGAAATTTGTTAGTGTAGAGTCATGATTCATAATGGTCTTCGAGAAACTTTTAGCAGTAACATGCTACTGAAAAGCCATAACAGGCCAAAGTTAGAACTGTTTAGTTTTAATTATGTAAAGGTAAGTTCATCGTCAGTGGCTTTATACCGAAGTAAATTATTACAAATGGCTAAATGGCTGCCCTATAGATTGGGACCATTTTGTTTCTTCATACTTTCCACTTGAAAGAGCATGCTCCTCTATTTAAATTGTATGTTTTCTCTGTCAAGTTTTGTACAATTCTGGTACATATATTTGTTATGTATGTTAATGTAAAGAATTCCTGATGAAACTAAGAGAAATCGGGTATAAAGTTTCAGGGATTTACTTTATAATGTGTGAAGTTTAAGTGATTGTTGAATTTCAATTTAACTTTTGATAGCCAATTTTTTGGTTTATGAACACCTTGTGGAAATATGATGGTTACTTTTTGTTTCGATTTATTTTGTATGTTAGTTTTCAAGGGATAATCCGAGCAACACAAATTTTCCCCAAGTAAAAGTGAAAGATTTGGAGGATGTTACCGAAGATAAAGTAGTCAATACTTTGAGGAGGGCCATTAGTTTCTATTCAACTCTGCAGGCCCATGATGGTCATTGGCCAGGCGACTATGGTGGCCCAATGTTTCTTATGCCTGGCCTGGTGAATGTTTCATAATTGTGTTTTTAAGTTTATTATTTATTTATCTATTTATTTGGGCTAAACTTAAAATCTAGATGTCTGGAGGGAAGGCTTAAAATAGTTGAAACTTATTTATACTCATTTACAATTTTCCAGTTTGTATTTGGAACTTAAATTTAAATCTTGTAATAATCCAATTCCTTCATAAGTTATATCTGTATGCGTCACCTCTAATCTAAATAAAAGATTTGGTTTTGGGGATTCCCCAACCGAATTCAAGAATTTTGATGAACCTTTAGTATATGTGATGACATATTTGGTTAACTTGCTGTGTATTTGTGTTTTCCTGCATAACTGCATAATGAAGTTTCTGAACTGGTCAGAGGTTGTCACCTATATAGAAGGCATCCAATAACGGGAATTTTGACAAATCTTCTCGCATCAGTCATTGTTTTTCAACCTCACCTTCCCTCGTTTTCATACCATTTTATGGAACAGGTTATTACATTATCGATTACTGGGGCATTAAATGCAATACTTTCGAAGGAGCACAAGCGTGAGATTTGCCGCTATCTCTACAATCATCAGGTGAAGATTGAATCTAATCTGGAATACACATTGATGGTGACTTCTCAAGTGAATAATAAATCATCTACTATTTGGTTGAGTTCTGTACATACATTTGAGGAATGACACATTTCAAAATCATCTGCACTTTATCTTTGTCTCTATATTTGAGCTCTAAACATGTTCCCAAAATGGCAATTTAACAGAACAGAGACGGTGGATGGGGTCTGCACATTGAGGGGCCAAGCACCATGTTTGGTTCTGTTCTTACCTACGTTACTCTGAGATTGCTTGGTGAAGGACCAAATGATGGAGATGGATCAATGGAGAAAGGTCGAGACTGGATTTTGAATCATGGTGGTGCCACTGCTATAACATCTTGGGGAAAGATGTGGCTTTCGGTTAGAAACTCATTCTCATTTGTTTTTTCATGTGATTTCTCCAATGGAATAATTTGCGTAACAACTTTTCATTTTTTATTCTTTCTCCTATGATTTAGGTGTTGGGGGCCTTCGAATGGTCTGGAAACAATCCTTTGCCACCTGAGATATGGCTTCTTCCATATATTCTTCCATTCCATCCAGGTAGTTATATGCGAATTAGTAATAATTTTACATCTTTTATGTTTTCCTTGTTTTGAAAGTTATTGTAAAACTTATCTTAGCCCATGCATTTTAAAGTTAAAAACAAATTATTTAAATAAAGAATGGTTAGTTCTGCGTATCTGAACTCCTTTGTTGATCCTGAGAAGATCAATGCGCAATCACATATATTTTCCTTGTTAGTATAGATGCATCTACTGATTTTGCTCTCGTCGACCTGTTCTTACCCTGCCCTTGGTGGTATTAAGTTGATCACTATTCATGCATAATGTGAATTGAGAAGTAGAGGCCGACAGAGATAATGAGGGAGTATTGAAGCAGTTATATTAATATGTAAAAGTCGACTAAATTTTCTAATTATATAATCTATAGTTTTAAGAATCTGCAATTTTTTACCTTATGCATTATACCTCTCTGTTAGTTTTAGATTGGAAAGTCAAAACATATCTCTTATAAGATCTCATTGTCATTTGAAAGAAGCATATCTCATCTGAGACTAGCCAGTCTAATTTAATGTCCCAATTATATGATGCCACATGTGTTTTGAGGTTTTACCTGATTTAACAGGAAGTATTTTTTTTCCCTATAATGTGATCTGAATGTTGAGAAACAGAAGTTCAGTGTCATTAATTTTGCAGGAAGGATGTGGTGTCATTGTCGAATGGTTTATCTCCCCATGTCCTATTTGTATGGGAAAAGGTTTGTTGGTCCAATCACCCCCACAATTCTGTCTCTAAGGAAGGAACTCTATACAGTTCCATACCATGAAATAGACTGGAATAAAGCTCGCAACGAGTGTGCGAAGGTTGGCACTAATCATATATTTGTTCCTACAAACAGGTTTCGCATTCTGCAATCTGAAACATAAGCAAAACAGTTTGAATAGGTGTACTATTTATAGGTTGCATGATAGGTGTTCCATTTATCTGTTTCCATAGATATTACTTGTGCTTTGCTGTTTGTTGATGAACCTCTTTTGCCTCTCTTCTGTGCAGGAAGATCTATACTACCCGCACCCTGTTGTACAGGATATACTTTGGGCATCTCTTCACAAGGTTGTGGAACCTATTATGTTGAATTGGCCAGGGAAGAAGTTGAGAGAGAGAGCTCTTAATACAGTTATGGAGCATATACACTATGAGGATGAAAACACTCGTTACATATGCATTGGCCCCGTAAACAAGGTGTGCTTCACACACATAGCAGTCGGGTAGAAATGGTACATGTGTTACAAAAAGTGAAGCAACACATTTGAAATTTATAATAATGTTTCTTCCACAAACAACTGTTGCTTTTCACAATGGCGTTGACATGTTACGTCAACATTTCCAAAGCTCTTTTCCCATCTTGAAAGATAATATGTCTGTAGAGGCCCCCTCATATTTTTTCTTGTCGTCTCTTTAGTTGTTTTTTTGTTTCTTTTAACTTTACTCATCAATGGGAAGTGGCAATTCATAATACATATCATTCCTATCTCATGTGTATTCCTCAAACAATATTTCAGGTGCTGAATATGCTCTGCTGTTGGGTGGAAGACCCTAATTCTGAAGCTTTCAAGTTGCACCTTCCAAGAATCTATGATTACCTGTGGGTTGCAGAGGATGGAATGAAAATGCAGGTTGGATCTACGTACATATGAGTTGGCAATGCGATGTTTTGATTCATCTGCTAGTGTTTTCTTGTTTCATCTACAAGACTTCTTGTTTTCTAAATACGAACTAAGTGTTGGGCCTAGTATCCTTCTGTGTGTATTTTAGGAAGTTAGATTTCATTGCACCTTTTCTTATTCTGAAAGTAGCTTTTGGAAGATGTCATTTGTTCAGTTAAACAATCAACTCTATGCAATGTGACCTGTACCAGAAGATGACATGACTCTAACCCTGCATATGTATCTTGCGGCTGCTTAAAGTTCCTAAATGAGGTGCCATTATTCGAAACACAGAGCAAGCAAACCTGGATACATTTGAACTCCACTATTTTTTTTTCTCTTCCAAAATGTAGAAACGAGAAGAAGTATAGGGTTTCAGGTGTCTTTAGCAACAGCCAAATAGCTTTAGGCACTGCCCTTACTGATCCTAAAACCAAAGCATAAATAAGTATGAAGCATTTGAAGTCCTCGTCTCTTTTAATCTATTAAATTAAATTGTGGAATAATCCCAATTAAAATCTTGAATTGACGATTCTAGAACTCGAGCGATGGTATTTGTTTCCTGGATGTTAGGAGAAATAGGCCCCTCAAAGATCTTACACATAAACAAAGAAGTTCTGGTTGGTAAAGGTTTGAAAGAACATGAGTATCAGAAATGTAATAAAAGATTAAAGAAAGAAGAATAACAGCCAAAAGATTCCAGCTATTGAAGATAGATATAGAGAGAATGAAAAGATTAAAGGGAAAAAGAATAAGAGAACAGGAAAAGAGCCAAATTGTGATGGTGGAAGGAAGACTGAACGAAAAAAGAAAAAAAAGACTTATAAAGGTAGTGCAAACTCAATTTGACTTGAACTTCCATTACCTATATCTATCATTTACCTTGCAGAACCTGCTTCAAAAGAGTTGGTGTACAGGTCTAGCCTATACTACTATCCCTGTCCAAAAACAGTGCCTAAATTGGCGTCTTTACAGTAAGGAAACTTATTTATGCATTCTATTAGGTCACCTTACATTCTTTGTTATGCTTGTTAATGTGTATTGATTTCTGCAAATGGTTATCATATTGTTTCTTTTCAAATCCTTTTTGCTCTTTTCTTATCCTTCTCGACTTTGTGAAGTTTTATTCCATCGAAGAGCTATATCAGAAAACGGCACTCTTAACATGTTTTATTTTAGGGATACAATGGAAGTCAGTTGTGGGATGCTTCCTTTGCTGTTCAGGCTATAATTTCAACAAATCTTGTTGATGATTTTGGGCAAACACTAAGAAAAGCTCATACATACATAAAGAATTCACAGGTCGTCAGATTTTTCTCTGTTCTTCTCTTGATATGACTTCTGTTTTTCATGTTGATGATCTTATAATGTCTCTACCTTTGATTGTAAAGGTGTTGGATGATTGCCCAGGCAATCTAGATGATTGGTATCGTCACATTTCCAAAGGTGCCTGGCCATTTTCGACTGCAGACCATGGTTGGCCTATTTCAGATTGCACTGCTGAGGGATTGAAAGTAACAAGTTTAATCTGAAGAGTGCTTATCTTTTTTATTCATTCTATTATTACTATCCTACACAATTTTCTTGATATATTACAACTATCGTGGTAACCCAAGTCTGTTATTTCAGGCAGTTCTGTTGCTTTCAAAGTTACCAAGTGAAGTTGTTGGTGAACCACTTGATCCCAAGCGGTTATACGATGCTGTGAATGTTATTCTTTCACTACAGGTAGGCCACTTGTGTGCTTGTAGTGTAAGCATGATGCACATATGTGATTAGATCAGGAACATGTAAATGAAAGTGTCTTTCATTGAAACTAAATCTTACAAATTGTCGCTGGATAACTTTGTGTTTGGAATAGATGTGACCATGGGGCCGAACAGGATCGGCAGCTCGTTGACCTCTGAACCAGAACCGTTGACCATGGTTTTGGTAAACATGGAATTGTTCCGATTCATCCCCATATTTTTGCCCTAAACAGGCTGTTTAAAAGTTTCTGGACAGTTCATAGCTTAAGCCGCCAGTTTTCCCACCTGAACCGTCTGAAAGAAAAGTTGACTTCAAATACCGAAACATGAACCTTTTTAGACGGTTCAGGAGGATAAACCATCAATTCATCCGGTTCTGGTTCAGAACCGCGAGCCACTGATTCAAAATTCAAGTTTCGGTTTGGGCAAGAAATCAGCTGTTCAAACGGTCCTAGTTTAGGACCATGAACATCCTGTTCGGAAATTATGGGGATGAACCTAAACAGGCCCATGTTTTGACTGGTTTCGGTTTTGAACCGGAGCTGTTGACAACGCTTCCGGTTCACTGGTCAACGGGGTCGAACTGGTGGGTTCGAACTGGTGGGTCTGCCGGTCCGGTTGTGCTACGTGGCTACATCTAGTGTAAATGATATTTATCACTGAATATTTTTGTTAGCCTGAGGAGAATATTTGTTGACATAATATGCAGAATGTAGAGGGAGGCTTCGCAACATATGAATTGACAAGATCCTATAGTTGGTTGGAGGTAATTGATTTAATGTGTATACCTTGTGAATCGTATGAACGTGCTTTGTTTGTTGTTGTTGTTGTTGTTGTTGT